CTCTGCGACAGGACACAGAGGGACACCCCCACCAGAGTCTGGACTGCCAACCACGAGGACCACGCAGACGGACGAGGTCTCTCCTGCCAATATGCTCCCCAGCTCTGCCCTGGCAGTGAAAGGTGTTCCTGTGCAAAGCCAACCTTGGAATCTCTCATGGCCCCAGGGTGACATGGTAGCCGGTGAGGGGCATGGCTGGACCACCCAACCCTGAACTCACATCACAGGCAAACAGGGTGTGGAGACCTCTCCAGTGTCAGCAGCCAGTCATCACCAGCACCAAGAAGCACAAAGGGCTGCAGTGGGCCCTGAGGGAGCCTTCCTGTCACCTGCCTAATGACGGTCCCTAATGACTGTCTCCAGATCAGAAGAACCGCAAGCAGCGGCTCCAGCAGCCCCGACCCGCCGTTCTGCAGGCATCAGTGGGGAAGCACAATTTCAAAAATGTTTAGGTTTGGTTCATTTGAGAAACATCTCAGCCAGTGTTTATTCTCAACGTAAATATGCCTCCAATTAATTAAGCGACTGCTTTCCTTGTTGACAAGAACCTCTTTGGAAGCCCAAGCTGCTGGCCGCCGCTGGGGGAGTCCTCCTGCCATCCTGTGTGGCAGAGTCTCTCAGAACCTTCTCCCAGTCAGCAGTTACCTAGCAACCAGCCTAGCAACCTCACAGCCAAGAGATTAATCCCCAAGTGACAATCAGAAAGCTGCATCCAAAAAGACACTCCGTTTCAAGGATGCCATCCAAAGGCCTATAAAGATGAGGTCTCCTGAGCTACACAAATTAGAGACAGGAGGGAACAAACGATTTGCCTATCGCTTCAACGTCAGAAAGATGAGATTCCATTCCTGCGATTCACACGTGGAGATGAAAGAGCTAAGATGATGGCTGGGCCAGAGAGCTGCACAGAAGCTGTCCAGTCACCAGCCGGACGAGGAAGATGCTCTGTCCCAACCACAGCTTCGACTGGGCCCTGGCAGGGGGGCACACAAGCCAGGGAAGGCGGATCTCTATTCTGGACCCTCCATCATGCCCGTGTCTCCAGCATAGCCTGCTCCCCATGTGCTCCCATTTCAGAAAGAGAGACCCCCAGCCCTCAACCAGCTGCAGCTTCACACAACAGCAGCACGACTCGTTGTGTGCACACGTTCAGGGATGCCAGAAATCCGCCTGGACAATAAAAAGCTGGGAGAACATTCCAGAAAGGTAGGCACCCTTAGCATTCCCAAAAGGCACCAGCCCTCCTCACCCTTCCCGGCTTCTGTGCCAGAATGGACCACCATCGAGAAGGTTCAAAAACTTGGGATACATTAGGATCACCTGGAAAGCATTTGTTAAAACGCATCACCCTGGGCTTCAGGGTCCCTGTGTTAAAATCAAACTTCAGCTGATGCTGACAGGTAGATCCAGATACACCTGGGGAAACAGCACTTTGGAGGTTGCCTCTCACATCCACCCCACAACAAGTGGGCAGGGAGTTAGGTAAATCTCCTTCCCAGTTGAGAAGGGGCTCGGAGCAGGCACAGGGAAGAGACGCCCTTAGAATGCAAGTTGTTCAGCTGCAAAAGTCCAGTCTGCAGGCTTCCTGGACAAGCTAGTGGGCTGAAGTATGCCACAGCAACAGGCTTCTAGAGCCTCCTGCCCAGCTCCTACTGTGCCTCTGCCACTGACTGACTGTGTGGCCTTGAGCAGGTCACCTGTCTGACTTGGTGATAAGTGGCAGGCATCACCTGTTAGAGGCTTCCATGCAAGCACGGCCCCGAGAGAGGGCTCAATCCGACGAGCTGCCACTGAACTTACTCAACAAGCAAGGACCCACAGGCAGACCCAGGAAATCTTGCCAAGTCCCCCATTCATGGGAGGCCAGCAGCACGATTAGTCATCCATTTACTTATCAAGCTGTTACTGTGCGTGCAAGAAGCGCCAGGGAGATGCTATCAAGGAGCTCTTCCCGTGGCTGGCACGGAGCAGCTGATGAGTAAGTTCTGTCTGCACAAAGAGTCCCGAAGCCTTCATTTTTGGCTGACATTCTTGGCTCAGGGGGTCTCTATGGCCTTGTTCCCCTCCTCAGGTCACCCGTTCAGACTGAGGGGCCTGTGCCTGGAAGGGCCACACCAATGGACCTTGCCAGGACACATCTGGTCACAGGTTTCGCACCCAAAGAGAAGACAACCCAACCCAGACCCTCAAAAGAGGACACCTAGGGGAAGGGAGTCTGGAAACCAGGACTCAGGAAGAAACATGAGAAAAAGAAGCTGTACACTGGGGAGGCTTCCGGGATACCTGAGCCTGCCAGGTCTCTGAAGGCCTTGGGGCTGGGGAAGGAGGGCGCCGCACATTCTGTGTGGCTCTAGGCAGCAGAGCAAGGGTTTGGAATCAACAAAGGAAAAGGATTTGTAGAAGCGGAATGGCTCAACAGCGATGGCGCCTGGGGTGAGGGCTCCCACACAAACCCACTTCTCCAAGAAGCCAAGGAGCTCTGGTGCCACAGCCGAGAGCAGGCAGCCAAGGCTGTCTGCCTCAGTTTCCCCTCTATGTAAAATGGAGCTATGAGGCTACTTCCTGAGGTGTTTATGAAGATTAAATGAGGTAATATGAGCATAGGAGTGCGAAGCAGAGTCCAGCTCACGCAGCACTCCGTCACTGTTACATGCTGTCGCGGCCTGGCTACAAAGGGCACTGGAAACAGGACGCTGAGGTTTGTTGCAACTGAGAGGGACCTAGGCGGCTTCCCGGCAGAGGTGTGATCTGCACCTGTCCTGGGAGGAGACGGAAGGGATGGGGTCTGGGAAGCAGCAGGCATCCCATGGGAGTGGGGAGGGATGGTGGGAAGGCTTGGCTTTGAAGCCACAGAGTAACAGAGGGAGCACCCAGCCGCCCTGGGGCCACCTGGGGCTCAGCAGCCTTATGTGTGAAGGGGCCAGTGCCACCCCCTTCAGGGCGGTTGTGAATCATAAAGGAGGCCAGGAAAACTAAGCAGAGGAACACACCCAGCGGACTTCGTCCAGTACAGTCATGTACTGAGCACCTACTGCATACATCGCCTTCTCAGACAGCCACAGGAGGTGGAGGCAGGGAGACGAGGCAGGGCCTCTGCGGCCAGCAGCCAGTCTACTGGGACAAGCACAATCGCCCATGGTCTTCTGAGCCTTCAGGTTCTGGGCAACAGGGGCTGGGTAACCACAGAGTCCCAGCCAAGGCTGTCAAGGGCCGTGGTGGCAAATTTGCGTCACCCATTCCTTAGGCAAGAGACCTGGGGACCTGTTTCAGGTGGTCATGTGGGAAAAGTACAAATGAAGAACACCAGAGGTCGGGGACAGAGCCTGGCACACCATAGACACTCAACAGATGAAGCAATAGCTGTTCAAGTGTCGCACTGCGCCCTGCTCTGTGGGGATCTAAAATGCCGGGGCTGGGAAAGCAAAGGGCAAGGCGGGCCTGAGAAACCCAGACACACTCAGACATCAGACAGCGTTTAGCCATCAGGACAGAGGGCACCGTGACCTTGAAATCAAGGCCACTCCTGCCTCAACCAGGGGTAGCAGCCAAACCCAGGTGCAGATGGGGCAGGACAGGTGAGTGGCAGCAGATAAGGCACACGCTAATCCCACTGGCCAGCGCAGAAGACAGGTTTGACCTCGGGTCAGTATGTCTTGGCCCTGGCCATGAACCTCAAACACATATGAACGGCTGAGCCAGGAGCCACCAAAAGAGCCTCTCAGCACACACGACATCCTTACATACCAGCAGGGACAGACACAGACTGCTCTGTGCCTCGACTTCCCCATCCGTAATACCGGTGATACAAATAGTACCTACTATTAGTAGGTAGCAGGCAGAGGGCTGCTGGGAGGATTCGCTGAGCTGACACAAGTAATCGCCCCACAGCAACACTCACGGGACCCGCTGGACCAGGCAGGCCCTGACAGGCAGTGTGTGGCAACAGGAAGCAGGAGGGACTGAAAGTCAGATTATGCCCTGGCTTCCCCAGTCACTCTGTGGCTCCAGCTTCATCTGGTAACCAGGGATGGCCCCCAGTCCCACCCCTTCTGTGATCCACAAGGTTGTCACAGAGATCAAATATGATGCCATACCCACAGGTGCTCTGGAAACTGCAGGGGTTGGGGGTGGGAGTTCCTGTGCCCCCAGCACAAGCAAACTGCTCACGTTGTCAAGTGGAGGGTGACCAGAGAGCCAGACAGGGCCGCTCTGCAAGGCCTGGGGCCCACTGATGTCTCTCAATTCACCGCCTTGAATCTGGATGAGGCTACTGCTTTACCCTCTCTCTCATGTTTCCCAAAGAATGAGTTTCCTGATAAACATCCCAGCTTGTTCTTCAACCAACGCAGCCTCTGAAGGCAGCCAGGCTGGCAAGAACGCTCCTCCCACCCAGACAGGCTGGAACCCTTCCGCTCTGAGCAGCACCCCTTCATCCCATCGGGATAGGGGGAAGGATGGAGGATACACACAGGCCCAAAGCCAGATCCCCTGCAGATGGGATCCTGGCTCTGCTGTGTAGAGCTGTGACCACTCTGTGCCTCAACCTCTCCATCAGCAAAATGGGTTATACGGATAGTACTGGTGTGCCAGGAGGGTTGCTCAGATGAGCTCACTAGGTAAAGGGCTGGGACCCCCGTCGGGCATGTGATCAGCGCTGTGCGTTATCTTTTTGTTATTGTCTGCTTCCGTCCTGGAACTGTTAAGTAAATATTTTAATGTTTGGTGAGTGATTTTTCATATGTTTATAACCTTTGTCTAAAAGACAGTTCGTGGGTGGGTTTTCCCTGTGATCATTTTGGAAGAGGAAAGGAAGAAAGAAATGTTCAAAAAGCACAAGGACAACATCTTGGCAGGTAGCCAGAAGCTACTGGGTGTGCACAGCTGGGATCAGCCCAGACAAACGGCATCATACCCTGGGCCTCTCTGCAGGGCATCTCTGCAGCTCAGCGGACCCCTTCTGGGGGCAACAGCAGCATCTCCCCCACCACAGGACCACTCACCTTAAACCTCTCGGTGACACCCTCCGTGATGCTGACGGTGAACTCAGCAATTTGGGGAGGACGTGCTTTCCCTTTCTTGCGGTCAGGTTCATACTCGGTCTTGGTTTTCACGACCACCTTATCCAGGAAACAGAGAAACAAAAGTCAGATGCATTCAGACGATCTGCCCAAAGAGGGTGGGTCTGGGAGCTCCCACATTCAAAGTCACCATTGGCCAGGAAGAAATTCACAAGAAGAACGGGAACAGCCACTACTTTTTGGAAATCTCCTCTGTGCCAGGACTTTCAGAGAAATGTCCCATTAATAATCCTGATAGCAGTCCCAGGAGGGAAACATTATAACCGAGGGCCACAGAAGGTAAGCTTATCGGCCAAGGTCACGCAGCTCACAGGCGGCAGGGCAGGGATGCAGCCTGGCATCTGACTCCTAACCCAGTGCTCCTTTCACCCACCAGAGCCGAAGCCTGGCTTGGCCCAGGAAGCTGGGAGACTGCACCTGCTTTTTCACTGGCCTTGCTGTGCCACCATGGGCACAAGAAGAGGAAGTCTGAGGTCACTGTCCACAGCCCTCCAGAACTGGCTGGAGAAGCTGGTCGCCAGCCTGTCAGGAAACAGATCCAGGATCAACCTCTTTGTCTCCACCCCCACATCCTCCTCTCCCTCTGCCCCTGCCACAGCCCCCAAAGGGTCTCCCTGCTCTCATTCCCCTCCACCCCCTACTGTGAGGCAGAAGGATGTTTGCCCAACCTGGAAACCAGCCCTTACACCCGAGCAGCTTCAGATGGACCCAGGAAGCCTCCCCACCCGGGACACTCACAACCCTGGCCTCAGCGGCGCTGCCTTCATCACTCCCCACACCCATTGCCAGGGACTGTTTACTTCTCTGTCCCACTGGACTGGGAGGTGTTCAGGAGCAGTGTCAAGGCGTTACAGATCTCTAATCCCCAAACTTCATTCCCCAAGCCAGGTTCCAGGAGAGGCTGTTGCACTAGAGACAGTCAGCCACCTCCAAGCTCTTCTCCCTCGAGGGACAAGGCTCCCTTCATTGGGCGGTCCGTCACCTGCTCTCCACGATGGTGGGGCCCAGGGCAGAACAAAGAGACCCCAGCAACCGGGGATGGTCAGCCCCTGGCGGGCAGCCAGAGGGCCTCTCAGCCGGCGCTGTGACCCCCAAAGCCAGCCTTGGGGAGAAAGAACAGCAGAGCCCATTCCAGGTGTCACTGAAAAATGATCCCAAGAGCCATAAACCTTGTAACCACACTCTTGGCCCCCCGGCCCCAACTCCTTTTCCACCCAGTGCTCCTGTGATGGAGAGGGAGGGGGTGCCTGGCATGGGCTGGCCTGGGCACCCACCCCTGTGAGGCACCCATTTCTTGAGGCAGTGGTTGGGTGCCACCTTGTCATTCCTAAACCCCAACTGGACCCAACTAGCCATGTGACCTTGAGCACGCAGGCCTAGACTGGCCAATGAATGGGAACAAGGCTACTGCTGAGGACGAGGAAACCCACAGAAACCTCCATCCTGTGTGGGGGCCGCATTAATATTCTGTCGACCTGGGTTCTATCTGCACCTGCCACGAACAGGCTAGGTTACCTTGGGCAATTCTCAAACTCTCCGTGCCTGCATTTCCACACCTGCAAAATGGGGCTAACATTGGTAGTGACCTCATGACATGTCAACGCATCAAAAGAATTTAAACCTGTAATAAACCTAAAAATAGAATTTAAACTGGCAGAATAGTTCCTGGTGCAGAATAAGTGTCCAGCAAATGTGAGGGAGACCACTCTACTGCCAGCACTGTGACTGCTGTCACCGCTGCCCCTCCAGCACCTCAGCACTCCATACACGTTCTCAGAACAGATTCTTGTTTACAGTCCAACTGTGTCACCACCCCTCAGAAGCCATGTCACCTGGAACAGGTGACATCACCTCCCTGAACTCTGACTGTCAGCAACACGTTGCGGTTGTTCAGGTTAAGAGAGGTCTTACATGAGCGACATCTGGCTCCAAGCAGGGTGGAGTCAGAGGCACCGCCAGAAACTTTGGCATCCTGGAGGACTGTAACCTTCAGCCCAGTGACCTTGGGCATGTCCCATAAATGCTCCGAGGCTCAGTTTCCTCATTGTGACCTTAGAAGCCATCTGGAAAATGATCCCAAAGCCATAACCCTGTACCCACACTCAGTCCTGGCTGGAAGTCCCGGCTGGACCTGAGACTGGTTGCCCCCCTTTGGACACTTGCAGAGAGAGGAGACTCACCCCTTTTCCAGCTGCCTAGGCTACGCCTGGTCCACCTGATTAGTGGGTGAGGATTTCATACCTGCCTGAAACCCTCCTCCCTGTATAAACCAACCGTGCCAAATGGTTCTGGAATGGAACAGACCCAGGATGAGAGAGGAAGCTCAGGCCAAGTGAGGGGAATCACCTGATAGAGGTGCTGCCTCAGGACACGGAGTTCCTGGCACAGGCGCCGCTGCTCCTCAGCCGAGCAGCTGGGGGCCGAGGCAGGAGGGGGCGTGGGGGCCTCGGGGCCAGGCAATGCTAACTGGACAAGTCTGATGCCTAGACAGGGAGGGGTGGAGCGAAAGCTGAGGCCTCAGGCAACCCTGCCCCTCCTGCAAAGCCTAGCCTGGACCATCAGCGGCCCAGAGTGGCACCACCGTGGCCTGGGGGGCACAGGTGTGGCCAGTTGATCCCCCTTTCGTGCCCTGAAACCCCTGCTGCCAGCCTCTTCCCGGCTCCTGCCTCCCTCCCCCGATAACACACACAATAAAGCTGGGAGGACACCTTCACAGGGGTTAGGGCCCCCACCGGGACACCCCCACCCCACAACACCCGCCCCGCCAGCAATCACCAACTTGCTGGAAGGAAGGCAGAGCCCTGACTCAGAGCCCCTTTACCAGGGACTAAATGAGAAAATAAATAGAAAAGCACTTCCGGGAATTATTCGTGGCTGTGGTGGTTTGTAAGCGGCAGCAAGATGCTGAGAACAGATGCTGTGTCTACGGTCTTAGATATGAGTTTTACAGTACAATTGCCTAGACATGCAAAGATCTATTTACATTTTCAAGTGTTAACTCCTGGAAATATTATTCTTAGCAAATAGAAACTACTTAATTGGATGCTATATTCAAAACGAGGAGATTCTTTAAATCCAGCAGAAAACACTTTGGGGAAAGGTTGATGAATGGTTGTTCCCAGTGACACCAATACTGAGCGAGCCCAGGCACTTATTTGCAGATTTCACAAAAGGAACAAAGAGGAAGGAGACCCTGTGTGAGCGCGCACACCCTCCTGCACCTAGCGCCCGCCTGGCAGGGGCAGGCAGAAAGGGCGAGAACAATTCAGCCCTGGGGAGGGGCCATCTGACCAAGGAGAGCGTTCCCCCGCCTCGGTGGGGCAAGTCGGGCTAAAACTGCCACACCCGGGAAGGTACAGGGGCAGCCTCGTCCGCCCCAAGGCTCACCCCCGATCCAGAGCCCCTGGGGCCACGGGGCAAGGGAGGAGCAGGGCAGCTGCGGGGCTCCCAGGAAAAACGCGAAGGAATCTTGCCCCACCGCGTTCCACTGTCAGGACTAGGATATCATCTAAGGCAGAATCCCGCGCGGGTACACTGTCCTCGCCGCGCTCCCTTCGGCCTCCCGAGCCCGCCCCCACTTCGCGTACCCAGTGCACGCGGCGCGTTTCTTTTGTTGCGGCCACCGTGCGAGATTTGGGGGTGCGCACCCGGCAACGTGGAGGGGCGGGGGGGCTTACCTTATCCGGGGGCGGGAACTGCAGCTGATTGACATCGAGGGGCGTCATCAGGGGAATGGTGTCGAAGCCATCCTCCAGCAGCGGCTGCTTGGTGCCCTTCTCCGCGAAATTGTTCCCCAACTTCACCATCGTTCCGGGAGCTCCGAGGCTGCAGCCTGCGGAGGGAGAGCCGGGGGTAGTCACCGCAAGCAAGACCCGGGGCGGGGCTGGGGAAAGCGGGCACCCACACCCACCGCCGTCCCGCTTGGTCTCGGGGAGGGGTCGTGGAGACGCGGTGGTCACGGCCTGATGCGGGGGTCGGAGGGTGCTGGGTATTTCTAGACCTTCATCTCGCAGGACCCAAGCGCCAGGCCCAAGGGCGCACAGCAGCCAGGGGAGGGGGCGCCGCCCCTGCCCAGCCCCTCCAGACCTGGTTCCCGGTCCTGGGGCAGCCGCACCTGGGCGACCCGCCGTCCACAGCCCCGTCCCGCGCACTCGGGGAGATGGGAATCCCCCGGGCCCCACTCCCGGGCAGGCAAGGTTCGGCCTCGGCGAGCCCAGGCGCGGCCGGCCGCACTCACCCACGCCCGGCTCCGGCAGGTCAGCTCAGCGTTCGGAGCTCCGCGCACCGAGCTCCGCGTCGCCTGCTCCTGCTCGCAGCAATGGCGGAGGCGGCGCCGCGCGCGGACCCGGGAAGGGGAGCGAGCGATTGGGCTCCGCGGCCGCTCCCTCCTCCTCGCGCCGCCGCCTCCCTTCCTGCCGCTCCCGGGGGCTGGGTGCGCGCGGGTGGGTGCGCGCGTGTGGCCGCGCCTCTGCCTTGACGCAGCGCCCGCCCGGCCGCACAAAGGAGTGCGGGGCTGGGCGGGAGCCTCCCCTGGGACCTCGCGCCCGCCCTGAGCTGGGGGAGGGAACAGGGGACAGGGAGAGGACGCACCCCGAGGGGGCCTCGGAGCGGCGGAGGGCGTCCGGAGCGTGAGGGCTGCGGGCTGCGCCGCCCCGGGCGGCGGCCTGGGCGCGAGGCGCTCAGAAAGGAGAAAGGGGAGGCGGGGACCCTAGAGACACAGCGACCCCCAGGGGTGCGGGGAGGTGCAAAGAGGGTCCCCGCCCGCAGCGCGCCGCGCTCACCTGGGGGTCCTGAGGAGGTTCAAGGGTTTGTGGGGATGAGTCCAGGAGGTGCTGGGTGGTGGCAGAGACCAGAGCAGGGCGCTCCTGAGCGCTGGGTTGGGGAGGGGGCGACCAAAAGAGGGCGCGACCAAAAGAGGGCGCGTCCGCGTATAAAGGGGGCGCGTACCCAAGAGGAGGAGAAGGAGGTTTTCGGTGGTGCGGGAGGCGGAGTAGCGCTCTCCCAGGGCTGGGGTGCGGGCGCCCAGGGCGAGGCTGCCCCAGGCAGCGGGAGGGAAGTCTTTCTGGGCAAAGAGCGCTCAGTGCGCCGCGCGGAGGGAGGCGGAAAGGTTCCTCCGGTCTGGTCGGAAGAGAAGGCGGAGGTCCCACCGCAGCCGCCGCCCGAGCATCCTGGGCACAGAGGAGGGGCCGCTGGGACGATTCCGGGACTCAGAGAGAAGGGGGGTGGTTCTAGCCTGACCTGCGCCCGCAAACTGCGAGCGCAGCCGCTGTCGCAGCTTCCCAGAGAGGGTCTTGTTTGCAGACCTCCAACCCGACCTGCCTGCAGGACTCAGGGATGAAAGACTATGGGGTGTGGGGGCGAGGCCGAAATGGGAGTGGAACCCGCGGAGGAGGAGGCCGGCTGCGGGGATCGGTGCCTCCTGGGCAACTGGGCCAGAAGCTGGGCCCTATCAGGCGCTGGACGCGGAGGAGGCATCCTCCAAAGTTGATACTTTTTCACACCGTTTCCGGGGACTTCCCCGTGGCACTGCGGAGGGTCCGGGACGTTTTCCATCAGCCGTCTGAGAATCCCGGGATTAAGCCAAGAGCACAGGAGCAGTCACCGCCTTGAGCCCCAGGCACAGCCTGGGAACTTGCCGCGGATGCCCTGATTTCAAAACCCCCAGGAGGGCTAGCTGACTTTGACAGGTGACCTAGTGGGTCTCTCGTAACTCGCCCCAACTCTCCAGTCAGGGTCTAAGTGTGCCTTTGACCACAGGCCAGCCTGGTCTGAACCCGGGCTCTTGGCAGAGGCACCCCGCCCCCAACCCAGGGAAAGCAGGTGTCAGACTCTGGCCCCTGCCATGGGCCTCAGGGACCCACGGAAGCCACCTTTCTGGCACTTTGATGCCTCCCTGCAGCAGGTGAAGAAGAGATTTCTCTCGCTTCGCTTTAGAAATCTGCCCAGGCATCTGCCATGAGGATGACTCACTGGTCAGGAGAAACCCTTGGGCTTAAGCAAGGGAATGGCTTTTTCCCGTCTCAGGCTCAAGCATTTAACAGAACCCAACACACACACACACACACACAGTTGGTCAGAATTCCACACCGGGAGGAACAAAGCGGAGGCCCTCCCCCTTCCTCAACGACTTTGTCAACTGAGGAGGACAAAGAGGCAAGAAGGACCTAGGTTGTCCCAGAGATGGACAGTGGACAATCATGTTTCTGCCAGCTGGCTTTTCGTGCTGTCTTGGATCTTGACTGGTGCTGGTTGTTGGGACTGTTTCATCCTGTGGTTTTCTTCCTCTGCTGATTATGTCTGGGCCCTGTGAAGGGCATGGACAATGCAAAATGCATGAGACACACAGCCACCTGCAGGGAGCTATAGACAAGGGCAAGTGTTTGCTGGGAGCAGTGGCCCTGTGGGAGGGAGTGGCCTCTGCCTCTTGCCAGGAGGGAGGACATCAGAGACTGTGGGTAAAGCATCCTACAGGTGGGCCTGAGAGAGGTGCTGCAGAGGGGAAGGCATTCCAGGTAGGGGAACAGAATGTGTTAAGACAGTATATAAAGCTTCCTGCCGCTGTTGGAACAAATTTGGCTTAACACAACAGAAACGTTCTCTCCTGGTCCTGGAGGCCAGCAGTCTAAAGTCTAGGTCCCAGCAGGGCCTCACTCCCTCTACAAGCCACAGAGGAGAACCTGTTCTTTCCCCTTCCAGCTTCCAGTGGCTCCAGGCATTCTTTGACTTGTGGCTGCATCACTCCAAACTCTGCCTTCACGTTACTCCAGTCACATTGCCTCCTCCTTTTCTCTGTGTCTCTTAGAAGGATGCTCATCATAGGATTTAGGGCCTGCTTGGATAATCCAGGGTAAGGTCTACCTCTTAAAATCCTTAACTTAATCCTGTCTTTGCTGTGTAAGACAATATTCACTCTTTTACTATGTAAGGTAAATCACAGGTTCCGGGGATTAGCATGTGGACATATATTTTAAGGGTCCTCATTCAGCTCACTACAGGCATTAAGCTTGCAAGGGTGTGGTGATTTGGAGAACCTAAGTCATTCACAAAGGATGGCAGAAATTAGGTTGAAGAAGCCACAGCCACCAAAATGGGGATGACTGAGGCTGCGATGGTGGTTGCAGGTCAAACAGATGTCAGGTATTTTCACAACATACAAAAAGGAAAATCAATGGGATGTGATCTCCCCTGCGACTGGTTTTATCCCAGCACCAACAATTTAAAATCCAAGTGCCACAGAGGATTGTTGACACAGACTAAGTTTTTCTAAAGGATTCTTTTTTTTTTTTTTTTTTTTTTTTTTTTTGAGACAGAGTTTTGCTCTGTAGCCAGGCTGGAGTACAGTGGTGCAATCTCAGCTCACTGCAACCCCTGACTCCCTGGTTCAAGCGATTCTTCTACCTCAGCTTCCTGAGTAGCTGGGATTACAGGCACGTGCCACCACACCCAGTTAATTTTTGTATTTTTAGTAGAGACGGGGTTTCACCATATTGGCCAGGATGGTCCCGATCTTCTGACCTCGTGATCCACCCACCTCCGCCTCCCAAAGTGCTGGGATTACAGGCGTGAGCCACCGCGCCCAGCCCTAAATGACTCTTTTAGGAATACTTCCAGAGTTACTGATCTCAGGCACAGACCGTCACTGCCTGTACGATTGTAATCCCTACCCGGCTCCCTCTCCTCAGGGCAGCCAGGCGCTGCTCTCTAATGACCCTGGTACTTCCAGGTCCAAGCCTTTTAGCAACTTCCCTTGTCCCACTGGTTGAAGTCCAGACTGTCACAGCAAGAGGCATTGTGACACAGTGGCTAAGCCGTGGCCCAATTTTGAATCCTGTCGCTCTCTTCCTAACAGTGTGACTTCAGGCAAGCTGCTTAACCTTTCTATGCTTCAGTTTCCCCATCTATAAAATGGAGATAATGATACCTCCATCATAGCAGTGTTGTGAGAATCAAATGAGCTATTCTTATTTTGTTTAAGTGCTTGTTTTAGGTATTCCTATTGCTTTGACCTCTAATTCTATACTCCTGTGGTCTCTATTCTTAGCAGCCACTGCTGGAGCCAGGGTGAGGTGATAGACACTTTTCCTGGTTATGTGACAAGTATTCAGAGTGACTAAGGTGACTCTTCCCCTAGAGACCTGGTGAGCCTCTTTGCAGCTCAGAGAAGTCAAATGATGAATCCCGAGCCACAGGCTTCCCTGCAGAGCTGGGATAGGTAGCAGGCTCTAGTCAGGCCTCCCACACCCAGCCAGATGGCCAGAATGGATGAGGTCCTGCTGCGGAGGTGGCCATCCAGTGCCATCAGCCTATGGAAGTTCAGTGGCAGGTGATCAGCGGAAGTTCTACTCTGTTTTTCTGCAGCCTGGCCATGTCGATCCAGAGATGCTTCATCCAAATGTCTTGTTTTTAGATTGAGATGTAATTCACATGCCACAGATATCACCAGTTTAAAGTATACGCTTAACTGGTTTTAGTGTATTCACGAGGTTGCACAATCATCACCACTAATTTCAGAACATTTTCATCACCCTGTAAAGAAACCTGAGTCCTACAATAGTAACTCCCCACACACACCCTCATTTCTGATGGTTTTAAGTTTCTCAGGTCCACTTCTCAATCCACGGGATCAGCCAGCACACTGGGGTCACTCGGCAACTGACACAGACGCGGGAGAGACGTGAGGCTCTGCATCTCTCTGCAAATGGGACAATCCATTTGCAGTGTGAAGAATCAGCCCACCCAGGTGGAGTCATCCCTGTTGCTCCTTAAATGCTGTCCTCTAGGCAAATTCTCCATTCCCCCAAGTGCCTGCCTCCAGGCCTTTGCAAATGCTGTTTCTCTTGCCTAGATTGCCTACCCCACTCCTCATCCATTTTGCAAACTGCTCCTCATCCTCCAAAGCTCAGATCCAATGTTGTCTCCACTTTGAAGCCTGGCCCTTCTTTGTGCTTCTCTATCCCGGAGTCTGGGTATTTACATTTCTAGATAGATCATGAGCAAATCAGGCAGAATCACTTAATCTTTCATTTCTATATCCCCCCGTCTAGAGCATGGCCTGGTAATCAGGAAAGGCCTGCTTAACTGAATAGGCATCCACTTCTTTTACATTTACAGTAAAGTAAGACATGTGAACATCACGGATGTAAAGTCGAGTTCAAGTGCATAGTAAGAAACTCAGGCCAGGGCCGGTGGCTCATCCCTTTAATCGCATCACTTTGGGAGGCTGAAGTGGAAAGATCACTTGAGCCCAGGAGTTTGAGAACCACCTGGACAGCAAAGTGGACCCTGCCAAAAAAAAAGAAAGAAAAAGAAAAAGAAAGAAAGAAAAGAAGGAAGGAAGGGAAAGAGGGAGGGAGGGAGGGAGGGAGAGAGGGAGGGATGGAGGGAGGGAGGGAAGGAGAAAATTAGCCGGATGTGGTAGCACACACCTGTGATTCCAGCTACTCGGGAGGCTGAGGTGGGAGGATCCCTTGAGCTCAAGGGTTTAAGGCTGCAGTGAGCTGTGATCACACCCTGCTCTCCAGCCTCAGCAACAGAGCAAGACTGTCTCAAGTACAAAAAAAAAAAAAAAGAAAGAAAATTCATGGTCTAATTAAAACTGAAGGTAGGTTTGCCCATGACATCACGGTGATACTCTCTTCTTAGAATTGACCTTACTGCAAAATGCTCATTTCTGGAAAACCCCAAATGCTGTTATTTAAAATACATAATATATAAATGAAGTCATAAATGCGGTTTCTAGTGCTCTCCAGGGTTTTATTTACCTTTGTGTTTCCCAGCGCTTGGCCACATGAGACGCTCAGTAAATTGCTAAGGAATGAATGGACTCACTTTACTTCTTTGCTTTTACTGGGTAAATATGATTATGGGGCTCAGAAACATTTGATGACTGATGATGTATTTAAACAGAATTGTGTCTGCATGTTTAGTTTGGGGGTTTGGGGATTTTGTTTAGCTTGTTGTTGCTGTTTTGTCTTATAGTCTTAATGAACCACTCAGCAATTCCTGATTTTCCCAAATTATTTCTAAGATCCATTTTGCTTTGGCTGTGAGGCGCCTGACCTTGGGGGAGCGTGAGCAAGAAAAAGACAGCCAAAGGCTTTGGTGAAAAGCCCTCTGTGGCCTGCGTTTCCTCATCTGTAAATTGACAGGAATGGTCACACGTGTTTTCTTCTTTCAGCGCCAGGATTTAATATCTAAGAAAAGATGATTTACAAATGCTCCCCACTGGAGTCCTGCTTTTGGATTTGCAATGCGGGCTGATCGAGGGGTGTAAAGGCAGCAGGAGCCGAGTGTTCTTCTGTTGAATACTCACCTCCTAGATGCTGGCAGCTCCGAATTCCTCTGGCCTGCTCGTTTTCCTCTCACAACTCAGGCTATTTTCAAATAACCCAACCTGTCCAACTCCAAAATTAAGGACATTAGAGTAGAAAAATATGTAGGTCAAGAAATGTTCTCCCTGTCTAGGATTTTCATCATGGAGAGGAAGGAGGGGAGGGAAGAGAAGCAGCCCAGCCCCCAAACTCAGCAGAGGCAGGGGAGGGAGGCACGTGAGGACTTTTCTTTTTTTCTTTCTTTT